GACACCCCCCGCCCCCCCCCCACGCCCCCAGCCCATGCAGCCATGCTCATGCCAGGCCGCCTCGCGATGCCACGCTGCAGCGGTGGCATTCAGGGAAGGGGCGGACGGGACGCAGCCAGCGCCTGCAGCCGGGGGGTCCCCAGCCCGGCACGGGGAGGCAGCGCGCCCCGGGACCCCCCTGCCCGGCCTGCCTGGGCCCCGCTCCGGCCATGCCAGGCGCTTACATACACGTGTCTCCTCTTGACATTGTGGCTGCGGGCAGGCGGCGGGCAGGCGGCGCGCAGCAGGCAGGGAGCGGGCAGGAGGCGGGCAGCGCTGCCAGCCGCTGCAGCTCTGCCTGCTCCACCGTAAAAACCCTACAAGCCGCGCGGCTCCTACCGCTCCTCTCTAGTAGCAGCGCCTCCACACTCTCCTCTCCGGAGGTTTCTCGGCAGCTCGCTCCTCTGGTTCGTGTTCTTTTTTGTTTGTTTGCTTTTTTTTTTCTTATTTTTTTTTTTAATATACGTATCCACACTCAATGCTGTTCGAAAGCCCCGAGGCGGAGGGTAAGGGAGATTAGCGATTTTTTAGATTTGCTCCAGTCTGGATTCACACAGAGTCTCAAAACCCAGAATATTAATTCTTCTACCCTTCTTTCAGGGTGAGAGCACTTTACCTAAAGCAGTGTGGAAGAGGTGCCTGTGCTGACTCCTGCACCGTGGCTTCAGGGAATTGTGATGCCAGATGTGTTTTGAGCACGCAGTGGGTGGGTTAAACCCACAAAACCCCATGCTTCCCAAAACAAAGCCCTTTTTCCATCCAGGTTTTCACCAGAGGTCCTTTTCCTATGCACTCCCATTCATCTGGCTAACGAGTGTATATAATTGCACGCTCCCTGCCTGGGCTTTCCCACTCTCAGGAGACTGAAGAGCTGCTCGTTGTTTACTACCGAAGGCCACTGCAGTCTAAAGGTCAGCAGCAAAAGACAACAGACCTTTGGAGCAGAGTTACTTTCCCCAGGGAAAGAAAATAAAAGTAAGAGCTGTTATGAACAGGACGATTCGCCCAGAAACAGAATTTCGGGTGACATGACACCTCTCATGCCATATGTGATCTGTCAAACCCGTGTTGTTGCAAAGACAGGGGAAAATACCTCAATTCTGGTGAGTTCCGCACATGGAGCTGTCACCATAGAGGGTGAAACCCCCACCCAGGATGCAGCCAGCACATCCCTCCTGCCTTTGGGGACCACCATCTTGTGTTTGACTCAGGGAGAAGCCTTGGATGACGCAGGACAGCTCCAGCCACTCCTGGTTATTACAACCTGGAGAGGGCACAGGGGCAGGTGGCCATGCTGGGGACATTGGTGGCCCCAAGGCTCCCACCACCAGCACCCTTCTCCTTGCTTGTCTTGGATCTCTGAGCCACCAGAACCCCCCCAGGACATAAAGAAGATCTGGAGACAAACCTCAGAGGCATCAGTGAGGACCACAGGGGTGGCTGAAATCTGCCCGCCAACCCAGAGCTCACCCCGTCCCGGCGCCCAGGGCAGATTTTCAACCAGAGTCTGAAAATCTGGGAGACCTGAAGGGCAACGCTGTTGCAGTCACACCGGCCGGCAGCTTCATGCCATCGTCTGCGAGCTTTACCCAACCTCATTAGCTCAGTTCCAATAAAAAATAAGGGTTTCTTAACAGCAGGGAGGTGCGTCCGCCTGAACCCCGCCTCAGCCAGGGCTCGCTTCGGCTGCACGAACCCGTGGGGCTGTGTCAGACGTGGGGCTCCCCATGTTCTGCAGCTCATGTTGTGCAAAGGGAGCTGTGAAAGACAGTTATCTTTCTCAAAGCCTCAACTCTGGCCCTTAGATCTGCTCCAAGAAGGACATTGACCCCCGAGGCTGGAAAGCACAAACTGCATGGGGCCAACACAGACTTTCTAATATAGTTATAAACACAAAAAACTCAACGGGAGCCTGATTTCGATGAAAGTGGTTGGATTTGGGCAACCACCCGTGTTATTACATTTTTTGGATGCGTTTTCATAATCGTTAGATGCTCTCAGGGTCCGAAACGCCGCTCACGCCACTGGGATCAGGGTGCTGTGTCAGCAGCTCTCTTGCAATTGCACACAGAGCAAGGATTGGGCGCAGG